CATATTGAAAGGTTTGGAACCTGATAGACTTCTCCAAAGTAAGTTGGGAAGGGTTATGGGCAGGCCTTGAGCCTTATGTGGGGGGTGCTGAAGGGTAAGGAGGGCTGCATCCCCTGGAGGGCACAGTGATGACCTGAGATCTCCCAGTTGCTCTTCGTGTTGGCTGTCGAGTTGGAACCTGCGAAGTAAGCCAGTAAAGGGTCCCTATTTTGTTACACACTTCCTCATAGAGCTGAGCCCCTCTGTGACATCCCGCAGGGAGAGGGTTGCACCAGATCCCAGCTCATCAAGGGAATGACTAAATCATAACTGTCAAAGCAGAGACTCTTGGGCTGTGATGTGGGGGAAGAATATGGACGGTTCCATGGATTTGAACCTCGGGAATTTGAGGTTGTATCATAGGTTCTAACCACTAAGCCATCAGAACTCCCCTTCAGATCTCCCTACCAACCACAAATCTGTGTTCATTCATGAGCGTGATTGCTGTACATTCTGTTTAAGGAGCCCCGGGGGCTAGTCGGTAGGGAATTGTACTGCCAACCCAAAGGCAGCAGGTTTGAATCTAGCCTCTGCTCCGAGGGAGAAGGATGACAGTCTCTTTGCATGCAGTTTACCTCTGCTGAAAAGTCCCTGGGGGCTCCACTCTGGGCTGCTTGGACTTGGTGACAGTGGGTCCTTTTTCTTACTTGGAGGAAGCAGCCGTTCCCTAGTTCTACCTGAGGCGCTCAACCCCAGCCCCCCGCTAAATAATGTTCCGGATTCGCTCATAGGACATTGTGAGGCCATTGTTTCCTAAGCAGGTGGCTCATGTGTGTCCTCATCCATCTCAGTCTGGGAGCCCCACCTTGCTGTTGTTGTGATGTACCCCCTTGGGTTGGGACTGACTCATAGCTGACCCTCTGCACGTGTCCAGGGGGAGGAAATAGCACCGGAGGGGTTGCCCATGGTTCCCTCAGAGTGGCTGCTGGATAAGGAAGGGGCTCGGCTGCATTGATCCTTCCTACTATCCTCCAGAGCCCCACCCAGGACTAGAGACACAGTGGATTAAGGTGTCAACCCTGTG